CCCCCAAAAAAAAAAAAAAAAAGGTATTGGTAATGATTTAGGCCCTATACGTTAACCCTAAGCCCCAAGTCAGCACCCGCCTTTGCTCCTCCTCTCAATGTCTCGCGGATGGCCTTTTCGAAGGGAGGATTGGGGTGGGGGTTGGGCCGGGGGCTTCGAGCTTAAAGTGGTTTAGACTTGGGGTTTGGGTTGCCTTGGTGGAGCTTGACCTCACCTCCTGAACCCTCATCCGGCCCCCCCCCCCACCCCCCTACAAAGTAGCCTTTGAACCAGTGAGATATTTCTCAAACTTGCCCACGCGGGGTTCGTGACGGAGAGTCTGGGGTGGCAGTGATCGTAACTGTAGATGTGATTGCTTTGTAGTTGTAGCCGCAGTGTCGTCACTGCTGTTGCTGCTGCTGTTGTTGTTGCTATTGCTATATTGCTGTTGGCTGGCTGCTGGTTTTGCTTCACGACTGCTCTCTGTCCAGCTACTGTCCTAAAATCTAGCCACACTGATCGTGCGGCTGTACTTTTTGCTGCTGGCCGGGTGGTTTGCAGTGATTCTAGCTACGACTCCTACAAACAAGAGTCCACCAAACAGATGCAGCACCAGTAGTACCTAAACCCTAACCCCTAAACCCAAAAGACCATTGACAAGGTTCCCGGGGATGGCAATGTGTCAGCACTGGCGAGTGTCGAGCAATCGACATGAAGAACCGTACCGAAAATCTCGGACAACACCAGAACAACTTGTCTGCGGCAGGAGCAAAAACAGAGGCCTTAATAATTGCCGAAATAATTTAGAATAGGGCATATTGCAATATAACCTAAATAAAGAACCAAAAAAAGGACGAGAAATCCTTAAGGCCCCCAGATTAGACCCTGAACCCCAGAAGAGGAAGCCCTACTGCCTAGCCTAGGGCCTAGAAAGAACTGCCTTCGCAGCCGGTGTCTCCTTCAGCCAACCGTGCAACCTGTTTCAAGGCACTCTTTTGCTTGAGACCCCGGGGGGGCGAAACGGATCGGCAATCCTAATATAGATGCCTAGATAATTACTTACACTATGTTGGGGGATTCCTTACTATAGTTATACTAGACTAGACCCAAAAACCCTATTCTAATTTCTAAGGCACCTCTTGTAAATCCCAAGCCTCCAACTCAGAAGTTTCTGAGTCGGGGTCAATCTGAGCCTTACATAGTCCCATAGTATAGGGGCATTGTGGCGTATATATGATAGCATTCTATGACGGGGGATATGTGAACAATGTGCAGAGCCCTGTATTTCCCAAAGCTTCGGGTTCAGTGAGTCGAACATCCCCGAGCGTGACTTGCAGATAAATGGAGAGTTTGACATGGAATATAGAGCCTGTTTCAATGCGGTTTAGGGTGTAGGCCGAAGGGGCTACACTCGGGCTTAACGAATGTAGGGGCCCTATAATTACAAGACTGATTGGCGGGGTATTATACAGGAAAAATGTACAACAGTTCTGGGCTTGGGCCTGTAAACCCTAAACCCTAAATCCTAAACCCCTACACCCTAAACCCTAAACCCCTAAACCCTAAACCCTAAATCCTACTGTGGCTTAGGTGGGAAAGCTCGGCCCGGCAAGTCACAGCACCGGGCGAAGGTGTTTGGTCGCTTCTCCCACATCCGAATTACAAAATCTAAGGCCGAGAACCCAAGCATCTAGTAGCAGTAGCAGGAGTAGCAATAGCAGCAGCAGCAATAGTCGTAGTAGTATTCAATAGTAGTTAGTAGTAGTCGTAGCAGTAGCAGTAGTAGTAGTACTAGCAGTAGTAGTAGTAGTAGTAGTAGTAGTAGCAGCAGCAGCAGCAGCATCAGCAGTAGTACTAGTAGTAGCCGCAGTAGTAGTACGAGTACTAGGCGTCCACCTGCCTGGACCATGTTCGGATCCACCTGCCGGACAGTCGGGTGTGGTCTAGTGTCTACGGGTTCCAGGTTTCGGCTCTTGCGTTCAGGGACGGAGCCTGTAAACTGAAGAGTTGGCCGCCGAAGTGGAGAGTGGAGTTACTGTCCATTGTCTGCGCAGTTTCCAAGAATAATTTGGGAACCTGATCTTCCTGAGACTATGCAATCATTGACATTGAACCCTTGGTTGCCCCGCATTGGCAATACACAGAAACTGCTTCCGAACACAGACCTACTTCTGTCTGTTAGACCACAGCTCTACCAAGTCCTTGCGCGGATTGCAACGGACCCTCGTGTCACAAGACATGGCATTTGGTTCCAGCTTTTCGCAGATGGTCGCAAATTCCTGAATCGAGTACATGATGTCAGTTTCTCTCCATCACCCAAAAATCCGGGAACTGCAAAGTCGCTTTTGTTTGTTGGTTGCTCGTGCTTAGTCCTATGCTTTGTCGGAAGTTACTCAACCCAGTGTTCGGAAATACTTGGCAATGCTGCTGACGTCCCCTGCTGACTCGTTTGCTTGTCTCCTACCTCGCACACTTGCCACTTGCAAAACAAGTATGGTCTTTGAGCTGCTGTTTTAGGTCTTGAATGTGTCTCACAACTCTGCCGAGCCTGGCCCTTTCTGCCACAAACGATACGAACATGAGACTGCACCCTAAACCCTAAACCCTAAACCACCTTCTTGGCTCAGAGGAGGCGGCTATTCTCCCTCATTTTTGCGATGTGTTTTCAGCTGGGCATCTTGATGCAGCTGGGTCATGTCCTAAAGTGATACATGTTACATGTTGTGGTCATGGTGCAGTCTTAAATACATCTAAATGCAGATGTAAACATGTCGCACTCCAGTCCTGCGCGAAACTCCTTATGTGTACACCCGTTCGCCATTATTACCATTGCCCACCTCCCTATCCCAAGAAGGTTGCAACCTTGCTGAGCTTTCAACGAAGAGAGACCCTGACAAAAATCCATAGATATGAGGGCTTCTCGTTCTAAGGAATGTAAAGCGGATCTACAATCACCCTTCACGTCTGGCCAGACAGGTGAAGCAACTCTGCAAATCCCTAACGAGCGCAACTTCGCAGGTTCCGAGAACAATCGCGCAACAAACCGTAACGAACAAAAAGGCGGATAAAACGTGCGTATGTGCATGTATATCTATATATATATATATGTAAGTATGTGTGGATACATGTATACGTATCCATGT